TTTTGATCTTCTGACATACTAAAACATGTAATTATAAAAGTTAGCATAATTACAAATATATTGTTATCTTATTTATCTAAAATCAATGAATAAATAAATGTGCAAAGTAAGTGCAAATAATTTTTTTTTTTTTTTAAACTCACTCAGAAAATAAATTGTAGAAGGGTATATTTGTGTTATTAGATGAAGGGGTAATATAACAACGTTTCATTGTACTATCTACATCCAATGTTTCTTCTTCAGTCTCACTGTCTTCTGTGCCACTAGGACGACCTCTATGGTGGGTAGAATTTTTGTATTTACTTTAATAAAAATAAAAATAATAATAACTATACATTTGAAATAAAGCAATATACGTGCAATCTGTGATAAAGTAATTAAACAATTATTATTATATCATTAGCAATTTAAATCATTAAGATAATTATGCTTACACCATTTGCTTTAACTGGTACTCACTCCATAAAAAATTTAAAATAAAAATTTTTGTTTTTAATACTTACTATGCATATTATAAAGTATTTAATACAATAGAAAAAATTATTAACTTTTATTAGAAAAAATTTACTTGATGAAATGTTGAATACCACTTGTTTATAAATTTCAAATTTATTTCTTCTGTATTATTAAATTGTATTTAAGAGGACGTCGTACCCGCATATGTTGTCTCCGTCTTACAAATGCGTAACATGGCAAATAGTACTCTCAGAAGATCACGTTTAGCTCCTTCAGCTTGAAAATTAGAATGAATTGACCTCTTTTGAAATTTAAAAGTGAGATTATTATCTAGGGCATCTCATAGCCTTTTTATTATATTTTAATTTTAAAGCAAGTTATGAGTATTTTAAAATTGTAAATTGTTTGCACGTCTTAAAACACACATAACTCGCTTTAAAATTAAAATATAATAAAAAGCCTATGAGATGCCCTAGATAATAATCTCACTTTTAAACTTCAAAAGAGGTCAACAATTCACTCTAATTTTCAATTTAAAGGAGTTAACCGTGATCTTCTGAACGTAATATTTGCTATGTTACGCATTTGTAAGACGGAGATAACATATGCGGGTACGACGTCCTCTTAAGTATAATTAAATAAAAAAACTCAATTGAAAAAACTGAATACTCAAACTCAACTCAAAAATATTTTAATTAAGTACTTGGGCAAATCTACTACAAATTAAATTAAAATTACTAATGGTTTGTATTTTATTTTCATTGAAATAAATATATTATAAGTATAATATAACATTTAGAGTATAATAAAATATTGATGGTAGAAAGTGATCAATAAAAATATAAAATGCCTAATTTAATAAAAAGCATCTAATAATGACATACAGGAACTTTAACTACAAAATAAAATACTAAAAAATTTAAGCTAATTAAATAAATAATCTAAATAACTTACATTGGAATACTATTGACATCATTATTTGAAACATTTTCTTTGTTCAAAATATCACGTGTACCCATAATTGATGGGGTAGAAACAGATTTTTGTAAAGGAAGTCTGGCTTGTAATAAACAAGATTCAACAGCTCGTTTAACGATTGTTTTGTTAAAACCATTCTATAACACATGTGATGACAAAATTAATCAATAATAAAACATAATAACATTTTCATTTCATACCTGATAGTCAGTCTCATTAAGTGAGTGGGTAGAAGAAGTTCCACTAAACCTGCGACTAATTAAACCAACATTTTTATTCGATTTCTGACGACAAAATGATTTACTGTCAGTAGTTAATAAATTTGCTGTGCTATCTGTAAATGGATCTTCTGTCTCAGATTCCATACTACTTAAACTGGCACTAAAAATAAATTATTTTATAGCAGTAAAGAATAATAAGGTTGTTACATTATAAATACCTCTTTTGACGTTTAACAATTTTTAAGGTATGCATATTCTTTGTTAAGTCATCTAATGCTGCCCAACTTCTTCTCCGAATAATTTCACTTTCTCTAGACTCTGTACAATGTTTTCCCATTATATCACGCAAATTGAAACAATGTTCTTGACAAATAATAATAATAAAAAAAATAATAATTTAATTAAAAAATTTCAATAAAATAATAATATAAAAACATACTTCGTCTAACAAATCCAATTTTGTGTTTTTTAAGTGAGTCAAATGTAGAAGATAAATCTATATGAGTAGGAGAAGAGTTGAGACTGGAAGTATCCAAATCAGACTGACAACAAGGTTTACTTAATGAAGGACATGATGAACTTAATGCATTGTTTATTCCACAAAAATTTATCATCTACAACATCAAAAAAAATATTATTGTATTAACATTTCAAACTAAAAAAAAACTATTAATTACATGTGTCAATCCTAAAGTGGCAGAATCACGCATTTGTTGTATGACCTCGTGTATTTCATGCAATTGTTGTATATTTTCCTCTGTAAAAATGTATAAATTTAAATAAATAAAAAATTTAATTTTGAATACTTATATAATATCAAAATAATAACCAAGAACTGGATAATTTTTCCCAGTAGAATGAGGAGTAACACTAATTGTAGGAACTAGAGTACTGCTTGACATTGTTCTCAACACAAAATCAGTTGAATCTACATTATTTACATCATTTGTTGTATTCATCTGCGAATAATCTGTTACTGTGTCTTCTTCACTATCGTCCAATTCATCTCTTTCAAAATCTTCCATTTCATATCTTTATAATAACTTTATTCTATAAACAAATTATTTATTATATATTGTTATTACAATAAGTATAAAAATATAAAATGTGAGTAACTATAAAATAAAACAAACAGATCATGAAAATCTTAATACACATAATCAATTATCAGAATCATACATACATATATAAGTATTAAAAATCTAATTCATAAATTAATTTGCTCATTTTACAACTATACATGCGATCCTAACTATTCTTCATTATTTATGGTTTAGAATTCAATAAATAATTTTAATTTAAAACACTTGCAAACAATTATTATCTAATATATACTATGTTTCTATTTATCATATTATTAAATATTAATAATATTATTACATATAATTTTTTGTTATCATTGTTTTTAACATAATATTATAATATTATTATCAGCTCAATATAAAATTTCAAAATTTTTTATAGTGTGAAATCTATGCTATTAATTAGATAATGTTATTTTCTAAACTAGTTACGAATTCAAAATAAATTAAAATTAATAACAGAACTTTGAACAATATTAATAACTTGATGAAAAACAATATCCAAGAATTTACATAATAAATAAATTTATTAATTATGAAATTAATATACCTATATAAATATCCCAATAAATATATATGTATAATACTTATATTGTTTTATCTACATATTTTATCATAGGTAGTTTCATAATTTTAAATAGTTTTATTTAATAAACTAATATAATTTATTTATATATTATGCCTAAAAATATTACAGATAAGCTAAATATTAGTAAACACTTAGTAGTTATTGAAGAAAATAAAGTAACCAAAATTATATCAACATACAATTTATTACAATATCATATCAGATGGCATATTTTATAGTCAATTATTTTATTATAATAAGATGAATTGAAATTAAAGCATTAATTTATAACTTCAAGGCTAAAATATTATTAATAATGGTTAAACAAAAACAAAAATTTATATTAAATATATTTCTAATGTAACCTGTTATGACCAGCTAGATGTAAGTGTGCAATTTTTTATTGTTATTTTTCATATAAATTTATAAGAAATTTTAAATTATTAGTCATTTAGGTAGGTATCATTAATTAATCTAATATAAATTATTGTTTTTATTATTTGCGTGTAGAGTAAAATAAAATATACATTATTAAGTATTGAAAACAATAAGTCAGCTAGTGATGACAACAGACAAAATCTCTTACCACTCACAATTTAAAGAAAAATTTTAGTTTGAAGATTACTGAATACTCTTCAAATTCATAACAGCATTCAAAATTGTACATACAGCTAATAATTACTTAACTCTATTATTTAAAAAAACTTTATCTATAAAATAAATGTACTATACAAAAGAGTAATTTGAAAAGAAAATTAAGTTCAAAAATTATTTTTATACTTTTTAATAGATATTACAATATTTAATTACTTAGAGAAAGGAAAATAAAATTAATAGTGTTTCTAAAAATTAATCAATATTGATATCCAAAACATGTATAATATAAACTACAAAATAATAATAAAATTTAGATTGCTTTAGATAATATAAAAATTATATAGGTATTATGATAAATAGTTAATAGGTACTAAAAATAAATTTTGATAAAATAAAATATAGGTAATATATTCAAATTTAATTTTAATATATGTTAAAGTAAAACTATAATATTCTATGACCATTATTTACTTGGTATTTTTTTTTTTTTAATATCTGACAATTTCTAGGCCAATACAATTTTCAGAAGTAAAATTAATATTTTGTTCATAAATATTACGTATGGAACATTCATACATTTTACTAGCGTAATCCACAGAATCTACTTATATTTATTAATTCCTCTAACGATAGAACAAGAACTGGAATTTAGTTCAAGACCTACATTTACATAATAGGTGTGCTGGTCAACCCCGGAAGATCTAGGATATTGACTCATCAGTTGCACAGACTAAATAATGAACAAACTGAACAAACTGAACAAACATACAAAAGTCGTATAAGCTTTACCTGTTATTCAGCAAATAGGAATCACTATTCTTGTTTAGCTAATAACTAGTCGTAGATAAAAACAAAACACAAACAATTTACGTTTAATATACTCAATAATCTTGATGACAGACTGCCATTTTGATACTTTATGTTCATAACAATGAACATTGGAACGAAATTGATATTGAAAAAAAAAAATAGAATTATTTAACAAACAGACGTCAGCAACGTTTTTAATTTGATAACTATGATAACGTTTAACCAATGACTACATATCCTTATATCACAGAATGTGTTCTGTGATACTATAATTATTATAAATCTTAGTATCTTACTATCTATATAGTATATGGTATCTTAGTCCATTCCACTCCGAGCCATAAACTTTCAAAAAATTTCCGTAAACTTGATTGAAATTCTAATCTCTAATCAAGTACTAATTATAGTACTTGCTACCAGGTACTAAGGTCCTTAGTAATTAACAATTTCACTTTTTTACATTTTAGCATTACATTATCAAATTATTATATTATCCGTAATCACTAATCTGTATAGTATTTAAATACATGAACTTTAAACAAAATATTGTTTCTAATTTCATTGGTAAATTTTCGACTTATTTATTTTGAAAAAATCTTGAAAAATGTTCCAAATTACAAAACGTAGTGCTAAATTATTTAGTGCAAATTGTGTAAGTCAAACAGAAATACCTAAATTATTGTTCTTATCACTGATGATTAGATGATGATCTATTTCAAAATTATATTTTTATTTTTGATTGAATAGATTGCTTTAAGAAAATATGCTGATAGCTCTAAAGTAGCTACTCTAAAAGGTGGTGAAAACATTTTGTATTCGTCATTACAAAAAAAATTTCCTCAAGCCAAAGAAATCAAAATCAAAGATATTTCAGGTAATTATTAAAAACATTAGATCTTAAATTTAAACTTTGCATCATTATTTTTTTCTTTATCATTATTATTATTATTTAAGTATGTCTTATAGTTTAAATCAATATAAAATTTAAAGTAAAAATAAGAAATCTTTTCTTAATGTGCATTTGTTTAAAATCACATTGTAATTTATACCACTTATAACCAAAATAATTTCATAGAATCATTCATTAAGACAATGATTATGTTAATGTATCTTTATATAATTTATGTACTTACATTTTTTTTTATTACTTAGATTAAATCATGTATTATATATTTTTAACATTAAAGAAAAAAATTCTTTTGTTTTTAATATGATTATTGATTATAATATGTAATACTAAAAGAAAATTAATACAATTAGCTTAGTATATCGACTAAATTATTTGTAATTTTTTTATATGTTAACTTATTTTAAAATATAGGTGGTTGTGGTGCTATTTTCGAAGTATTTATTTCCACGACAGAATTCAAGGGATTGAGTATAGTAAAACAACACCAACTTATTAATGAAGTAAATAATTTATCATTATTGATTTTAATTATAAATCAGGCACACATACTGAAAAAAAGTTCTAGGAAGCATGTGTTCATAAGTAATTAACCTTAAATGACCATATAAAAAAAAAATTTTTTTTGAAAACATTCTGATAATTGAACTTTCATACTATATATGTACCTGTGGTAATATTATATAAACCTATACATTTTAAAGTATTTTAATTAATTATAGATAGAATTATAGAGTATTGGTAACTTTCCTTAGATAACTTAAAATTTTCATCGAACTTTTCAGGATTTTTATTAAGTCACTTAATGTATACTTAGTGTTAATAGATTACATATATTATTACTAAATGTATACTATTATTTTTTCTGTAATCTTAAGATTAGTGATAATACTTAATCATTAAAAACTTCTTTTTTAAAAAAAAAAATTGAAATTGAAGAGTTACTTACCACATTAAAAGTTTGAAACATGATATTATTTATTATATTCAATACTATATCACATCAATACTCTTATAATTATTATATATTTTGACCGTTAAAAATTGTACTCAAGAATTTACAATATGGGTACACTTAAAATTAATTTTAAAATATAATTTTTTATATTGCTTGTTTCAGGTTTTAAAAGATCAAATTAAGTCAATGCATGGAATACGAATACACACAGAAATACCTGTTGAAAATAATAATTAAAATTAATTATGTTTTATAAATGAAAAATAGTTATTGTAAAATAGAAAACTATTTTGTTATTGTGTGAAATTTTTTCACTAGGAATATGTCTCTAATGCGTAGATCATACATAACTGTTTGATATAATTGTTATTTTATTTTTACCATTATTATAACATAATATATTTTTTGATCATACCTTTGTGTGTATTGCATTTTATAATAGTTAAAATTATACTTTAAACTTAAGAGTAAAAAAAAAAGAACCTACAACCTTCTTCAGCTTATAATTTTTTTTCTTAAAATGTATACATTTTAGTTGTACATGTATTACATTACAATAAACATATTTTTTGAATTAGTTTAAATTTATAAATATCAATTTAAATTATAAAACAATTGCACCAAGCTATATTTAAAAAATAATATGTTTTAAACAGACATAGGTGCACTCTGCACCTGCTTCCATTTTTTTTTTTTTTTTATGAGCCCATTTAATGGGAAATTTAATGTAAAAAAGTAAACGAAATCAATTAACTCAGAAGGAATTGGTTTTATTTTTTTGAATAATAACCAGCTGGTCACATATTACTGATGAAAAAACTTTCAAATTTTTGAAATAATTAGCAGTTATTAATTAATATATTGTTAAAAATGCATCCTACATATTGATTCTATTTCTTCATGTTAATCATATTTCAATTGTATACTATGTACAGATGTCTATTAACTAAATTATTTAATCCAAGATTATTTATTTGTTTTAAAATGATAAATAGTTTTTTATTGTCTAATGTCACCTCTAAAAACAGTAAAAAAGGTTTGAGTTTTGGTAGAAAGTTATAAAAAAAAACTGGTATCTTGTACAAAAGCAAAAAATTCTAGTTCTTTCAAAAAAAAATCAGGAAAAACAAATTAGATAAAATGGGAATTTTTATGCACAACTGATTTTTGATAAAATTTTATTAATTTGTTGTGCCTAGTTCAAGAACAAATTAAAAACGAGATTTTTACTTAATAATAATATTAGCATTTAAAAATATGAAATATATTTTTCAAAGTTCTTTGTGCTATTTATAAATATTTGAAATTTTTACATTTTTGGTATGTGGAAATTGGTATAGTAATTATTTGTTAAGCAAAAAATCTTGATGAAGTTTCATTACAAATTTTAACTTTGATAGTTACAGTTTGAAATTGTAATTTATAATATAGGTGTATCTAGGTACTCTGTACACTAAGATATCTTACAGGTTAGGTACTGAGGACTAGGAATTTAACGAAAATTTAAAATAAAATCATACATTTTATAAGCGATTGAAGTTTTTGAAATATGGATAATATATTTGATGTTCAAATTTTAAACTTTTCATGATTTTTATTTTTTTATTACCTATCAAAAAAATATTAATCGTAGAACTAAAAACATTCTGTTACTGAAATCAATATTATTTGTACAGAATGAAATTTCCTAAATAATTGGACGTGAATATTTTAAGCTGTTTATAAACAATTCAATTTTTTAATTTCTTTTTAATTGTAGATAAAAAAAAATGTTAAAATTAGGTTAAAAACTTTAAACATTTTACACAAAATCTCGAAAAATTCGTCCTTAATAAAGAAATTAAAATTTTTTTATGTAAACGTTTGAAATTCAAATAGTGACAAAGTTTATTGACGTATATGTATATTACGTCATGATCACATAGTCACATACATATCAATATCCAATATTCCTTTAAATACACGTGAAGTACGAAGTGCAATGCGGTAGGTATTGTAGAATTCAACCTCACACATACCTATTAAACCTAAATATTTTGTGAATATATATGCAGGGATGGGCAAATTATCAAAAAAAAAAAGTAATTAATTATAAATTACAAATTACTCAAAATACCAGTAATTAAATACAAATTACTAATTACATGATTGTAGAACATTTAATTACAAATTACAAATTACATAATTGAATTACTTACAATTACCAATTACATTTAAAAATTTATTACAATTTTATTGTATTAGTTATTAATATTATCATATGAAAAAAAGTGTATAAATTAATTCAAAAAAACAAAAAAACATTGGAAAAATATAGGTACCTTTTAAAAATACAAGTTTTTCGAATTGTTCGTCAGACAACCGGGAACGAGTACCTAGGTGCCAATGGTGCCATTATAAAGCCAGCAAATGAAAACAATCTCTCTACCAGTGCTGACGAAAAAATATTAGTATTATAATTAATAAATAATTGTTTAACAACAGAATAATTTTTCAAACATGTTAAACTTTTATTTTTGTCATTAAAAAATTGCAATATCTCTAATTCAATACTTGTTGAGGAATCTGTTAAAGCGTTATCATTGAAAAATTATAATTCTTTATACCGATTACAAATTACATAAATATTTTTATAGTCAATTATCAATTACAAATTACTTAAGTAATTGAATTGCTGCAATTGAAAAGTGCCCAACCCTGTATATTATATGGTGCCTATTTAGAAGTGACACGCGCTACCATACATTATGTAGTATCTATAACAAGCGCTAGAACCATCACAGAAGTGAGAAGATTATCTATTTAGTGCTAAAATTGCTGTACTTATTATTTTTTTGTTTCTCAAGGTACTCTAATGTTTAATTATAGTGCCTATTTGTATAACATAAAATTTACAATAATGAGCGTAGGTATTGAATATGTGGTGATGAAAATATAATGTTCACTGCTTCGCTGGTAATTGTCAATTACACGAAAAAAAATAGGGAAGTTATTCATTGTAGTGACACTTTATTCTTATTCGAGAGAGGTTTTTATTGTTTTTTAAAATATAAATAAGCAGGTGAGCCGTGAGCGGCATCTACAACATGATTATATAAAAACATTACACTTTTGTTAGTTTTCCGAATCACATTGTAATTGGTCGTGAAGACATTCTATCATAAATAGTTATTGGGGTTCAACGTCCCCGTTAACGAGTTCCCAACGGTAACAGGACACAGGTAATGATAAACATTTAACTCTATAAATTAAAAAAAAAACGCGTCGTATTTCAACTCCACGAAGCGTTATTTCTCACCATACCGAACAACCAAACTACTGGAAAACGTCCAAAATTCTAAAAATACCTTCTGGCTCAAATTGTGAGTCCTGTTTTATGCCGGATGATATACAATAATAATACATATTATTTCTACCTTCAATCTAGTCGCGATATCGTGAATCGTGATGAACGAACCATTAACGCCGGGCGTCGAGCCCTTTTCAATTCGACATGATCGATTTCGTAACATTTTAAAATCATCTGATTGGGATGAATTCAACGAGTTGACGGACGACAAACAGAAGATACAGTTCGTGTACGAACGACTGTACGCACACGGACAGGCTTCTAGTGACAGTGAAAGTACTGAAGACAGACCAGCGAGCTACAAAAATGGAGATAAGGCTTTGGAAATGAAAAAATCCGGAACTGATTACTTTCAGAAGTCAGATTATCGAAATGCGTTGAATTGGTATTCTTTAGCTGTGCTCCATTGTCCTCAAACCGACGGTAAATGATTATTTAATAAGATTATTATTTATATAATTGGGTAGGTAGTGGTAGTGTTTAGGAGTTGGAAGAGAAAGAAAGACGAAATGTTTAACATAATGAGATGATTTTTATGGCAGATTGGAAGATACAATTGTCGATCATCTATGCTAATCGATCGGCGTGTCTGTATCATTTAGAAAATTATGACTTGGCCATTTCGGACATACAACGGGCGCTCGACCACGGATATCCCAAGGATCTACGACACAAAGTATACGATAGGTACGTCGCACGTGGAATATACATAACGCATTTTAATATATGTAATTATATAAACATCCTGCCCTTTTACCGATATGCAGTGCACACTGCACACTCATGATTCATGAAACGAACCTATTTAAGATTTTTATTATAGCTACTAATTTACTAAGAAGCAAAGATAATAACTTGGGCGTCTTGATATAGACACTTAAAAATAAACAAGTATCAAACAGTAATTAATAATTTCTATTTTAACTAAGTATGCAACTATATGCCTCTATTTATTAATTGGCTTTTTTAAAAAAGACCTAATAGAATCTGTCAGATTTTTTAACATAATTCGTATATAAGATAAGATCATTTCTTTGCTAACCAATATACATTATTAATACACCATGTACTAGGTAGGTATACCTACTTAATATCATAATATTCCTGCAGTAGGTATACGGAAACTAATTATTTTGTTATGAAATATATGAATAGGTATGATAATTTTATTATGACAGCTCTAAGTAAACCTATAACATTAAGTAACTTAACCATCATCTGAAATTAAAATAATAATGATAATTTTTTTTATGATACTATAGGTAATAGATTAATTTTATGTTGGAAGATTTTTACCCTTCTAAAATTTAATCAAATTCTCGCCCGTGAATGACAGTTTTAACTATTTGATTCTACTTTTCAGTTCATCGTTTGAATTAACACTGAATACACGTGACTGTAATAAAGGAATATTAAAGTGTTAAAAAAATTGAAAATATATTATAAATAAATAAATCTACCTATATGTATAACGATGGTGTTAAACTATGGAAGAGTCCAAAATTTATAGATAGGTAATAACTAATAATAGACACTTTTGGCTACATAAAAAAAGTGCTACCTCCTCCTAAAATACATTATACTAGAGCGTGACATCGATAATAATAAAAAATGTACAACGTACGCCGAGTACTACATGTTTGTATGTGCAGTAGTCTTACAATAATAAAAAATGAAAAATAAAACCAATTATGTAAAAGGTCGACACATATTAATAAATTATTATGTACTAAATACACAGGAAAGCGCGATGTTTTTTGGCCACGAAACAGTTAAAATTGGCATTAGAGTCGTTTAAGGCAACCATACAGTCTCTGGACGATTCACGTTTGTCGTTTGACGAACGACGCAAACGACAGCTAGACGTGCAGATAATGTTGACGATGTTGGGCAAAGACAAGCACGCTAAGAATAGTAAAGGAGCAATAAAAAACATATATATTATACTTTTCTAAATTCACATTTCACGCAGGTTTCAATATTATTTTATATTCGTATGCGTAGGGATTATAGAGACCGGTACAACAAAATCGGAGGAGCCGGAAGTGGACGGTGGCCGGAGCGACGCATATCCTGCGTTTAGCAACGCAGTGTCCGTCGAATACAACGAAATTGAAGGAAGACACGCGGTAGCCGGAAGGGATGTGCCCATTGGAAAAGTTTTGTTGGTCGAGCGTGCGTACGCCTCAGTCTTACTTCGAAAATACAATCATTCGCATTGCACCAACTGTTTCGTCAGGTATACGTGACGGATTTTTGTCTTTCGGCGGCATCTAATGTTATAAAATATATGTTATAGGTATATTATCAATTTATCGTTGATTTTAAATACTATAATATTTAAATATTTATTAATTTAGTGTAGACACGGAGGTAGATTTAATCAAGGATTAGGTAACTCGAGAACTAACGAACTAAGGGTTGCAGAATTAGAACGTGATATTAATTTTCAATAATAGATACCTAGAAAGATTTTAATCCTAAAATTAAAATAGGAAAATGTTGCGTTAATAAATAATAACTATAAGATGTATTTGTACATAAATGTACGTCGAGTACGACAATCGATTAAATATTAAATATATTAAAACAGATTAAAATATACCTTCAACAATAATATAACAGCATGACATTTTAGAATTTTAACCAAGCAATATCATATATACTTCTATATAGATAGTTTTACAATGTTAAGTGTTTTTTTTTTTGTGTTTATGTCATCTTTAAAAGTAGTAAAAATACTTCTATCATCAACTTTAAGAGCAATTTATTTAGTTTAGGTACTTTAAGTAAAAAGTAAAATATTTGGAGGGAAGGGAAAATTGGAATCTATTTGTGAACTCAGTTTTTAATAAAATGTATTTTGTTTTTATTTTTTGGTAAGCTAAAAATGAATAAATGTAGAGATTTAGATTTATCACAAAATATTTATATCAGTATTTTTTAGACATATCTAATAATATTTTTAAAACATTAAAAAGTATTCTTTAAATAGACATGACACATGTCTCAAAGCAATTAAATACCTACCAAAAAGAGCTGTTATCTAGTCAAAACGAATTAAAAATTGAAATGTATTACATTTTTTATCATTATTACTTTATACCAATAATTTTAATGTTCACTGCAGGCTAGTGGCGCCTTTACCGTGTCCGGACTGTGAAAGAGTGGCGTTTTGCGGTGAGTTTTGCAAAAGGATCGCTTTGGAATCGTATCACGCGATAGAATGTTCGATGTTACCTGCGCTCTTCTCGGCTGGGGTTTCCATAACGTGCCTGATCGCACTTCGAATAATCACGCAACAGCCGTTGAAGTATTTCATCGACCTACGACCGAAGTTATTGAATCATGTAATAGCAGCTCGTTGATTATAATTAGGGCTAGGATGTTTATGAAATTGCATATTTTTTTCTATTTATCCAATTTAATGCTAACTTGGATAGAAATTTAATTCATGTTATACTGAATTCAATAATATTGTTTTTATCTTGCATATTTTTTGGTCACGTATTTTAATATTTTTAATTGAATATTTTGGGATTTTAAAAGTAAAAATGCATATTTCAGTACATTTTTTTAAAAAAACAATTTAATTAACGAACTATACAATTAATTTCAAAATGTGTACTTACATATAGATTTTATAGGTAGTAACTACAGTCTACAATCTATCAAGTATTGACGTAAAATATAAATATTTATTATCGACTTATCGTGTTTGTTTGAAATTACGGTACTTAATTGGACAAGGTCTAAGATAACATCAGTTGACGTAGAACGAAGCTTTTCATAAGCTTTTAACAATAATAGATGCAGTTACAAATTTGAACAAATTAAAAAAAAACCATAGTAGCACAGTATAACGCTAATAATGCCATAATAGTAATACCTAATTAATAAATAATAATGAAAATTAAAGTAAATAAAACGCTATGTAAATTTAAAAAATGTATTTAACATTATATTAAAAAAATAATAAATAAAAATAATTACAAGGTAATAAAAATGAAATATTTATGTTTTATGAAGTTTGATAACATTTTTGTGCATATTTTGGCATTTTTATTGGTTAAAAATGCATATTTTATAATTTTTAGCGCATATTTTGATTTCATATTTCGTAATTTTTATTGCATAAATGCACACATATTACAGCAGTTTTAAGTGCATAAACATCCGAGCCCTATTATAATATTATAATTAATAAAAGTGTTTATAAAGGTAGGTTTCACATCCACACTGTTCTTAGAATTTATTTCTGGGTTGACAATAGGATTGGTCTAATACACTTATCCACTTATCACTCATGCCTATAATTTACCTAATTATCTTAATATGTTTACTTTTAGTATTTCGTTATCCATCTTATAAGCTATATAATGGTATAATCCTATCCGAATACTTACAATTTAAATATAATATACCTACGTTTTTTCTAGTCGCTGAGACCGCGTGATACACATGAACCCGATAATTACGTGAACTTGTACGACTTGGTAACCCATCGGGAAAAGAGATCTGTACAAGATATATTACACAGAACACACGTGGCTGCTTTTTACTTGTTCTGTTTGAAAAAGACAAACTATTTCCCTGCAGACTGCGACACAAACCGTCGACTAACCGATGACGAGTTGTTCATAGGTAGTCTATTGTTACATCATTTACTGCTTCTCCAATTTAACGCTTTCGAAGTCTCCGAACTCCGACAACTTGGCAACGAGCAACAGACCGTGTTCATAGGTGGCTCCGTTTACCCGACCCTAGCTTTGTTGAACCACTCTTGTGATCCATGCGTTGTCAGGTAAGTACCAAATACCAATGCATATTACCGTATAGAATGTATAGATACTACGATGATTGTGGTTTTACTGCACAGTACACAACAAGACCAATCGGTAACAGATTGTCAAATTGTCTTAATTTAGGTACCACCGAGGAACAACAGTCGTGGTTCATAACATCCGTGAACTGCATGCTGGAGAAACGATTTCAGAAAATTATGGTCCAATGTTTATGTTCCATCCAAAAGAAGAGCGATTACAGACACTTCATAATAGGTATTTACCATTCTTAAATTACAATAATGATATATTATATGTATCATTTTGATAACACACATATAGCCATATAGGTACATATATACCTATCTATTATACACAGGCAAGAGTTCATTATCCTTTATACTCAAATTTTAATAACTCAAAAACCAATTGTTTGAATCTCAATTAAAATACATCATAAATGTTAAAAAAAAAAACATAAAAGCTCAACATTTTACAGAAAAGAGTTTTCTTTTTTAAAAATAGAAGTTTTATCACTGCAATATTTTTGAATGATAAAAAAAAACAAAATATCTCAAATAAGTAAAAAATATTGTCTCATATGTACTTAAAAATTTCAAAAATTAGATTTTAAATTATTTCATTATCAAAGAAAAATAAGACATCCTTGATTCATCACTCTGTATTTAAGTACAGTTAAGTTTTATTATCACAGAACTGATTAAATTGGTATAATATTTTTAGATTAAATATTTTTAACACTGTTCAGAAAATTAATAATTAATGAACTTTGACATTTAGTTAGGTTTAATTATTTGATTATAAGAGGAGGATATTTCAAATAAATACATTTTACTTTTAATATTATCAAATTATTTTACTACCAGCATACATTTTGTATTGAATAAAAATATATTTTTACAAGTTAATTTAACACTGAATAATATTTTAACTGTTACTCGTGTGACTAATAAATTATTATACATATTATGTACAACAAAATATTGTGGGTAATTGATTGAAATATATTGGGCTTACTGTGATAGGTATTGGTTTGAATGTAATTGTATTGCCTGCTGTCAAGACTGGCCAACTTTGGAACAGATGAAGACAAATAAATCACTCAGAATCAGGTGTACACATTGTAAAAATGCAATCACAATAACAACAGAATCAATGGAGTTTGTAGTTCATTGCTTAGTTTGTTCAAAAACTACTAAACTGTTACCAGTTCTAAAAGTTTTGCAGGTATCTATAGTCCAATTACATTTAATGACAAATATTAATAAAAATTTTCTTTAAGGATACAGAGAATAAATATTCTGTAGCCAAACAATTAATGGACAAGCACAATTATAAAAAGGCTTTAGCAGAATTCATGGCACTTTTATCTTTATTACATAAACACATGGTGCCACCTTTCAGAGACTACCATCTATGCCAACAAGCAATAAGACAGTGTATGTTGACATTTGGAAATAAATTCTAATAATTTATTATTTGAGTAAGACTAATAGTTTGTACAAAGCTTAATTGTAAGACATTCATATTAAAAAAATATAATTATGTGCAAAAAAATTATACATTTATATATAAATATATATGATAATAAACTATAATTAACAATAATTCATAGAATACTAGTCTTGTACCGTTCTCCTAAGTGTAACTTACATATTTAACTTAGGTTAATATTTGTCAAGATAAACATTTAAAAATTTAAAAAAAAAGTCATCAAAGCTAAATGTTTGTTTCATAAAATTGTTAATCAGTTAATATAAAATAAAGAATAATAAGCTTGAGAAGGGGAATCAAGTTTTAACAGCATGACTTAGCTGGTTCAGCTTCAATATAGTTATTAAAATCAATGCTAGCTGAATGATGTGAATAGCCACTTTTAATGCCATCCCAGCCTTCTTCCATTTGGTATTCACCACTTTTTATCCTTTGATAAATCTAAAATAAATTTTAGATATTATGACTATTTTTTTCGATTTATTGATAGTACATGTATTGATAAGCATTGAAAAAAATATACCAAGTCACATATATTATAAATCATAAAAAATTTGTGAATAAATAAATAAATTACTTCTTGGGTGATAGCAGAGAATGCCAATTCAACATTAGAACCGGTTTTCGCAGATGTTTCAACAGTGAATATATTATGCTCTGCGCCAAATTGTTTGGCTTCTTCTTCAGTCACTTCCCTCTTACTAGCACCATTATTTACCTATGAAAAACAAGTAAATACACTATAAATGATTGGTAGTAATTTTAAAATTACCTGAGATTTTAAAAATTCATATTTAGATAAATTATTTTGTACATAAAACTTACTGGTAATATTTGTTAATTGATTATATTATTATTAATTTTTTTTTGTTCTATAAAAACATTTTTTTGTGATAATAAAATAATCAAAATACTGTTACAATCTTTATTCAATACTATTTTAGTAAATTTACTATGAATCTTTCTCTACTAATATAAACTCAAGAAGATAACCTTGTAACCTTTGTCATAATTAATTTTTATTCAATTTATTTAGAACAATCTATAATAATTTTATGGAACATATATTATAATTAGTAAAGGTAATTAGATTTAATAAAATACTTCTGTTATAAAAGATATTTACTTTAACGTAAAATTTTTAAATAAATAAATTTAAAATTATTGTAATTAAAAAAAAAAAAAAAAAACAAATTATGTTAATTAGTAATTACTGTATGATCCAATAAAAGCAGATATCATAATATACAATAGTTAAAGAATTCGAATATTGTTAAAACACAATACTTTTGCAAAAAACTTTTATCCAGGAAGTACTTTATAACAGATTTTTTTAGAACAGATATTTGTACATAGATATTTTAAAAATTACCAAATCTAATTTGCACCCGACTAAGACAAATACGGGGCGATGAGGTTCAATGTGTCGTTTGGCATCATTCATCCAAACAGGTATGTGTTCAAAACTGGCTCGTTTTGTTATGTCATATATTAACAAAGCACCTACTGAATTTCGGTAGTAGGATTTTGTAATTGATCTATTACATATAAAATATAACCATTAGCTTTATAAGAACAATAATTAAAACAAAAATAATTCTTATTCACCTAAATCTTTCTTGGCCAGCTGTATCCCATAATTGTAATTTTATTCGTGGACCACTAGGTATTTGTATTGTTCTAGCAAAAAAATCAACTCCAACCGTTGGATCAGACACCTGGTAAATAATAATAAAAATGGACAAATTTATGAAATTGACAATATAGACATAATGGAATTTCTTGACAAAGCTTTTACCTCAACGAATTTACCATCATTGAAAAATTTCAACAGTGAACTCTTGCCCACTGTACTGTCACCGATCAGTATCAAACGAAACTGATAATCAAACATCAGGTCAGCCATATTGTAGAATGTGGGTGAAACAATGAACGTGTGTTAGACGTAGTTAGTACGGAAATCAAAATCGTTCTAATTCAATTCAATCGAATGACTAATAATGAAAATTATTAGTCAATTAAAATACAAAACCTTTGACAAAAACTTACGTAACCATCACTGAACTCGCTGGTGTATATAAAGTATACTGTCGACAATCGGATTGTTTCTTTGTCCGTACACATGTGTATTAAAAATAACTAATAACTGCGACATAGGTAAGACAAGCAGTCAATGATTTTTTTTCCCCTTTATCTAGCGAAGTTATTATTCATTATGCAAATATCGCGAGAGCCGAGAGATAATACTGTTTAGTTCGTCCTTGTAGCTCTATAATAGTTGCTCTTCAATGTTATTATATTATTTTTATCAACACTTTCCCCTTCTACTGTTTTCATTTTGTGGCATTACACACAACCCCCGCAAACTCATAACGTTTCCCCGTTGATGGTCACCAGCTGTTGTTGTCCTCTCATCTTTTACAGTTATCCTATAAATCGGGTAACTGGTATACTGGTCCAGGGCGTTCCGGCATATTAATTTTTGTTTTGTAAATTGGCGGGTAACAAGTATGTCAAATGTCAAACCAATTCGAACAAGAACAAACTCTTCAATCTGGCACGTTAACCTTAATATATAAACTAAATTAATAAGTAATTATTTTTGGCATACGTGTCGACGTGTCGTATGCTACCTATCTACCAAGAAAACCATATCTACACAAATCTATACACATTACACACGTGTCGTACGTTATTTAGTATTTACCAAACAATTCGTAGATACGTACAAATCTATAAGCTTACGTTATTAATGTCGTGGGCTACATAATATCAGAGTATATAATAAATAATAATAATATACTCATTACACGTGTCACTGTATCAGTAGTAATTAAAGTGCAACTGCAACGTGGAGGTTGTTATTTTATAGTAACAAATATCAAAACAACTCCAAGGATACCTGCAAATTGCAAGGCCGTTAACTATAATTACCAAGGAACTGAATCCATTTTAAAAGGGAGCCCAGAGAGGAGCAATGGTAGATGTACCATACCTAGTCGTTAAGACCTGAGCACTTTCAGTCACTTAGCCACTTTTTTACGCTTCAGCATATATTTAGTTTTTAACTAAATAAATAACATATTGTTCATTGTTATATTTTGTACTACTTTATTAACCAAATCATTTAATAGTCTTAATATCTGATTGTTGGGAGTACGCACGCAACGCTAACATGCTCAATAATAGCCTGTTTGTTAACAGTTTTTCAAATTTCTTTAATTTTTTATATCTCATAAGAAACAATAAACCTTAGACTTAATGAGCTTTAAATAAAAAATGGACTGATGAATTTTTATTTAGTATTCCTGAGGTGTATTACAATTTTCAAATTGATATTACAAAGATAACGAAAATTGGCAAATCCATTCTTTAAGTAGGTATAAAACTCACTTTTTGATTGTTTACTTGGCCTACTGCATGGGTTGTAACATGTTCTAAATGTTGAAAAAAATATCATTTAATATATTGTCTACTTAATTAATGAATAAACAATGTGTTGAGGTGTGGGAGTTCTTTTTAAAAATGCATAAGTCCATCTTTTATATCCACTTGACACATTTTTGGACAGCGGAGTTGGCCAATGGCTACATGGCAACATATGTAGTTCTTAAACTTTAAAATTATTGTATCAAATGATAAATTAGAGTAATTTTCAAGTCATTCTTTACCTTACTGAATATAAAACTGTTTTCAGAATTCATTATAATAACAATGGAAATTAAGATTTGTCATTCGTTTGCAAATATTAAGCTGTTTTAGTATTTGATTTTTCTGACTACTTTTTTTTGTGGATTTGGAAAATAACTGAGTACAGGTATACCTAGTGAATTATATACAGAGTTAATAATGGTTATACTATAAGCTAAAATAACTTTTTTAATATATTTATTAATTTTTTTTTTTTATAAAAATTGATTATTTACAATCGATACAAAACAATACAATAAGTAATATATATGTAACATGTATATACTTATAAAAAGAGATACATTGGTTAACAACTTGAAATGAAAGAGGCATCCAGTGACACTAATACAATTTAATTAGATTGTTTTTCTTGATTAAAAGAATGTATAAGGAATAAAAAGATGTAAACTATAGTTCTTGAAGTTATAGCTCTACGAGTCCAGTGTGACATGACAAAACAATGCTCACGGTCTTATCATCTTAAATTTGATATACTTAGTAATATATAAATACATTTATTTAAATTTACTACAGATATGTTTCAAATGATGTACAGTTCAAGAGATAACTTTAATAATAAGAATAATTCATTAGTTTTATAATATTAAATCTGGAATTAATATAATTTTTAATAATTTTAATTTTATTTAGATGCTAGTAAGTCTTAAACTGAAATCTCATTGATTATCATTATTCATCACTATCTGAACCTCTGTTGCTTTCTTGTTCACTATTATCAGAGTTTGAAGAATCTGAATTGACATCGCTGGCTCCACGTTCTGAACTTTTCTTACTTCTCATTTCAACATCACTGTTATCACTATCCGATCTAGCTTCGCTAGACACGCGTTTAATTTTACGTTCTTCTTCGCTGTCACCACTTTGAGATGATTCTTTTCTCTTGATATTATCGTCATCATCAGATTTATCACTTTCGTCACTTCCAGAACTAACTTTATGACTATTGAGTTTTTTAATGCTAGTATCACTATCAGAATTTACTTCACTAGCAGTTCGTTGACGTTTACTATTTTTTTCTTTGTCACTATCAACTGTTTCACTGTTAGCATGCTTAGAGTTAGTCGTAGGTTCGTCATCATCAGAAACATCACTATCTGAAACTAAATCATTTTTTTTAGAATCACTTGTGAACATTAGAAACAATTTATTATATATTCATGTATTATAAATTTATAAATAATAAAGTAATTTACATAGCCATTTTATTTAAATTATGACAGTAGTTATATAGATAATTGATAAAATAAATTGTTTAAATATTATTTATTAATTATTTTATTTATTGAGTAAGCTTAGAGAGGAGAAGGAACTTCAAATGGTTTTTAAGTTGTTAAAAAACAGTAAATCATTTTTTTTTTTAAATTTAACTTCTAGATAGTCACCCATTCAAAATCTAGATATGTATTATGATAATTAGTGCATTTTTAGTGAGATTAATGGATCATTAGAATAGGTGACTATTTTCATACTAACAATTTATATTATATAGCATTGAAATTAAATCACAATAAAGTTGATTTTATCAAAATACAGGGGTCGAATTTATTTTCAAAATAGATTTTCACTTATCTTAAAATTATTCAAAACTTTTATTTTTAATGTGAAAGAATTGTTTAATTTTTAATGTATAAATTAGTATAATGTGTTGTATGATACTATGATACTTTAAAACTCTTTTCTTAACCAGTGTTATAAAAAAAAAAAAAATCATACATAATTAGTGTTTTAATGTGCAGCGTTCATTGCTAATTTTAAATGTCAACATTTAAATAGATTTAAGATTTTATTACCTTTTCTAGAATCATTATCATCATCATCACTGTCTGCTTTATTTTTAGTTGTAATTTCCTTTGCACTTTCTTTTGCAGCTAAAATAAATTAAAAATATATGTTAATTAACATAAAAAAAAATGTGTGCGAGTACTGATAGACAATAATCAATACTCACTACTCAGGTTAACTAAGAAAAAAATTAGATTCAAGTAGACTAAACTAATATTATAAAAAAAAAAAACAATTATTAAATAACTTTTTCTTTAAATGTTTTACTATAGATTATCCATTAATAAATACATGTCTATATTTAGGTACTTATTTTGTTATATGTATTGGGATGATAATACACAATAAAATGTTTAAAATATAAAATTATACGCTTTGTTTCTATTTTAAACAATTAACATGTTGTAAAAAATAAATATATTTTAAATGTACAAGGTATTCTTGTAGCCTGTAGGGATAAAAAAGAGAGTACTGAGAAAGCTGTTGACACACCAAAAATGTGATTTGATGTTTTTGATAAGACATTAAAAATGAGAAAGCCTCTTTAGGCAATGTGATATTTAAATTGTAAACTATATCAATTCTTTTTTATCTTTCATTCAAGTTTTAATTTATATTAAAAAATAAACAAAGTAAAATTATAGTATTCATTCAATATTCAATTTATTTTTAAGTCTACCAAAGCTAAAATGTTCAACAATTACCTTGCATTGCTTTTTTAGCTGCTTCTTCAGCTTTAGCTTCTTCTTCTTCATCATATGGCTGTAATTGTTTTTCTCTAAATTTGTGAACACTGAATTCTTGTTCATTGATTGGAACATGACGTACTATCAATCTAGTATTAGTGCTACTACTCTGTGTACCAATTTTTTGTCGTCTCTTGCTTAAACGGACTCTAAAATATAAGTTATATCGTAAAATAAAAAAAATATTTACCTATTTAAAATAGTTTAACTCTAACCTAGTTTCCAATTCATTATAAAATACTCCATCAGGTTGTACAATTAGGAAATAATTTTCCTCGTATCCTTTACTACTCTTGCTTTTAACATTCCAGTTGTATTCTCTGGCCATTTTATATTCGTATTCATAATCATCATCATACGGACGTGATTCAAGAGCATCTTCACGACGTTTAATTATCGTTTCTTCAGATGGTAAAAAGTAAGCTACAAACTGTTCACCACTTTCATCCATTACACCTCTGAAATTTTTTCATAAGCTTTAGTTTCTAATATTTATACATTTTTTATCATCAATGTTATTCTTATAATTGTTTTCATCTTGATAGTTAAATATAAGGATTAATTACCTAATCATAGCTTGAGACATTTCTTCTATTTGGGCTGGAACTGGCCGACCCACTGGAGCTGGATCCGAGTCAAAGATAACTTGAGCACAAGGATACCTCCAATTCTAATTTACAATAATTAAGATATATTTTCCACACGATTCTATAAAAATGTTCAATATTTTTAATGTTACTTTGAAATCTGGAAAAACATTTAATGTTTCAACAGCATGGACATTTGGCTTGCTGTAGTGTTTTTCAACTGGTTTTTTATTGTCTTCAAACGTTTTTTCAATTGCTTTCATCTGACTGTCTCTATCCATGTAAAGAGTTTCCTCCTAAAACATTTTTTTTAATTTAAATTTTAGTAAAAAATACTTATAAGATGTTTTATTTTTATAATTATTATACCTTAAAGTTCTTTTTGATACTGAATCCAACTTTAGCCTCAACTTTTTCAATAGTTTGTGGCTGAAATCTGGTTTGCTCTGTAGAAATGTATTCCGTACGTCGCAACCACGATACACTCCTGGCATGATGCCTAGACCTAAAAATTGAAATATTATTTTTGATGAAAAATATTTACAAAATTAATTTCAGATAATGAGTTTAAATTAATTCAAAAAATATTTTTATTATTTATTAATAAGTATCACAAATATATTAACTCATAGAGAAAAAGAAAAATATAATAAATAATACATAATTTTATTTAAAATTGAGAAAAATTAAATTTTAGTTTTAAACTTCAATGTTTTATTTATCAAAATCAAATAATTTTTTATCCAATAATTTTTAGATTTAGTTAGAGAATTGTTTTAAGTCACATTGTACCTAGGTAATATATGATACTAATATTATAAACAAAAGAAGCCATGGATTTGGATTTTGATTAAATAATTTGTGTTATAATAGTAAATGTAAAATAATACCTTTTAGAATCTTGTGGAGCTAAAATATCTTCTTCCAAAAGTTTTTCATCAGCAATATCCATTTGTAAATTATAGTCTACTGTATACTTATCTTTATTTACCAAGTCAATGTTGAGTCCTAAATCATGATCTGCAAGTATTTCAAATTTATATGATCTCTCTAAAGATGTTGGATTATATTGTATATACCTATAAAATACATTATTATAAATTAATCAAAATAACAGTTAAAGCAAAGCGTAAAACAGTATCCTTGGTCAGGTAAAGTACCTTGTAGCATCAAATGGATATGAAAGAAATTTTAAGTCGAAGGGGATATCAGGTAGCATATTGCAATATTTCACTTTACATACTAAATCGGACCTAGAAATCATCAATAATGAATACAAGTACACAAATAATATAAATATAAAACATAGGAAGCTATATTATTAATAACATACCTTTTTTCTATAGATCGTATTGGCCTTTTTTCCTGAGTTGTATTGTTCTGAACAGTCGGAGCCATTGTTCAAATATATTATATGAACATGTAGCACTCAGCAATAGAAATCACCTATAAATTATTGACCAAAATTTACAAATAAAACCATACCATACATTGGGTGAAAAATGCACAACTATTAACGATTGCTGTACCTGTTTGGACGGCTACTGTTTACGACCACGACGCGTTCTCTGTGACTGTAGTACAGTGAAGTGAACGCTGTGTTAGTTTAATATCACGTTATGGCCGAACGACTTAAACGTACTCACTAATCATAATATCAATAATAATTATTAACAACAGTCAACAACACCGACGATGCTACATAACGTTCACCGTGCAATCAATTTGCTGTACTATATCAGTAGCGATAAAGTCGCTGATAATAGATAGTATATTGTTATGTTATTATTGGTTAGGTTAAAATACAGACCGCGGTTTCTCGAAGAATTTTGGTTAGAAAAATTCCAAGACCGTGGTTATAATGTTGTTGTCATTGACAGTCGCATAGATAATTAAGATGTTTGTTGCACGATTAAAGATATATCTTTAACCGTGGTTTGTTGTCTACGGTTGGTTGGAGCGAATGCCCTCTATCCAGATAACTGCGCACTAAATTGATAATAAATTTTAGTTTATTGTTTCGTTGCTAGATATCTCTGTAACAACCGTAAGCGTTTTACCTATGTCCTATGCACTGCATTAATATATGGTATATTAATAATATTAGTATATGGTGTTGTCGACATAACAGTGTACAATAATATTATGTCTTTTAATTTGTAGGTGAATTAAAAGAAAAAAGAAAGAAATATATTTTTATTTATTTATTGCATATATTTTTTATAAAGAAATTTTATTTTTTTTTTAATGGATATTTTGAGCTCTAAATCAACATAGTCGGAAACATATAAGTTATAACACTTATAATTATAGTAGTACATATTATACAGTAATATTTTTAATTTGCTTATTGTTGTATTTGTTTTAATTGTAATAATATTATTACTTTTTTTTTTGGTATTTTAGTTTATATTAAATAATTTAAATACTGGATTAAATACAGGAATTTTGAAAGTGTACCTAATAATTTGATCTTAAGTATTCTCTTTAATTATTGGTTTTGTACCACAAAGGCTCCTATGGGGGGTGGCGGTTGGCCTTAAATGGTGATGACCAGGGCTGTGAATTTATAGGAAAGTGCATTTTTTTTTGGTGATTGTAAAACATAGCTTTGTAAGTACATGATTTGAACTTTGTAATTACGAATCCATCTATGAAACTTTTATTTTGCATATTTTTGCATTTTTGATGTTTTTAATTGTTTAGGTCATATTTTGCTTTTTTTAGTTCATTTTCTAATATTTTTAACCAAATTCTGTCAATTAACTTGTTTGAAAACTTTTTTTTATTTTACACAGGCTGTACCTATATATTATTATGTCAATTTTTTTTAACTTTTTTATTAAATAAACACTTTTTTGTACTAATATTTAATATCCTGAACCTAATATTAATATAAATATAAAAATTAAATTAAAAACCATTTTAAATGAATTTTATACTATAATCTTTTGCATTTTAAGTGCATATTTTAAGGTTTTTTGGTGCATTAAATTCACAGCCCTAGTGTTGACAAAAATAAAAATATACCAGGGAGGATAATACCCAGAGATTTATCTCAATAATAATTATAATATCGTGACCTGTAAAAGGGGCGGGTGACCAAATAATAAATATAATAATATAAACAAATTTGGTTTACGCACCGTCGTGCAATAATAATATATAATACATAGTAAAACTCGTATTGAGGTAAAAAATTAATAAGGGCGTCCAAATAATATGACACAAATAAAAAAAAAGAATCGGTATACGACAAAACAAATAATAATAATAACAATAATAATATATTTATGGATATCACCAATATCGACGACTCGGATGTCGACCAATGTGATCGCGTGAAATCTCCGCTACAGGAACACCAGTATGGATTATGCTGTAGGTACACTGCCCACTCACGAACTCCACGGTCAAATAATAACAGATGGATATATGTATATTTATATATATATTAAAATACGGGTGCAACGATAGAAATTTTTGACGGCACACACGGCCAAGGGTTTACGGCAACGTCTCGACGATGTCGTACGAAACCAGCGAGCGAGCGTGTTCGGCCCGTTTGACAGCGGTGGTCAAAGACGCCGATGCCACATATACAAGATGGGAGGAGGGCGACGATAAAGTCGGCGAGCTTATCGCACGCAAACAATAATCATATTATATTATATCTTGAACAGGTTTAAATACAGGAATCCGAAATAAAGTGTACCAAAGTGCCCCTATATGTAGTTATAAATTTGAAGCACATCAGATATTATATAACTTAGATGAAACTGGGATAACTACTGTGCAAAATCCTAGTAAAATATAGTAGCACAAAAAGGAAAAAAAAACAAGTAGGAGCAATTACTTCATCCGAACGTGGGACATTGGTTACAATGTGCTTAGTTGTAAGTGCTCTAGGCAATACTATACCACCTATGTTTGTTGTTCCGCCAAGAGTGAATTGTAAAGATCATTTATACATACATATACGTATCATATATAGGTTTCACACAGGCATTCATACGGTCAAAGTCTGTCCACCATTAGATGATTATAAAAAAATGGTTTCACGTACGTGTATGTAAATATTACCCCCATTTTTACCTATAGGTATATAGCGGACCGGTTTCAGTTCCTGTCTGTTAGGTCGTATTATTATTTTTGTCCCCCGACGATGTTTTGTTTTGCTTACAGCCAAGGAAGTAGGCATAAATAGAGCGCAAACAAATTATAATGCTTATTGTGTGGCAGCGCACAGAAGTGACGCCCCCGACGACGTTCACATTATGGAAATGTACCTACGCGAGAAACAATACAAATATGCGTTGTACTCGTTTTGTCGACTGAGAGAAAAATGAGGCTTGTTTTCTTATTTAGGAAATTAGGAACCACGGGCTGCCCTATTCAAATTGCACTTCATTATTATTATTATTATAAATATTATTACTATTATTATGGTGTTGATTGTCATCGGTTTGTTTAGCAGTGAATATTATGTAGTACGCTTTGTACCTATCCACTAACAGTATACCAACACAAGAATATGATACGTATATAAATATATATATGTATATATGTACTCTATATGTGTATTTACATTTATGTAGGTATGAATATAAATTATATAGCTGTTACAACAACTGATTTTGGTAATTGGTGCTTAGGTATTTTGCTGTATATATATATAGGTAGGTACTATTATTAAGTTTTCTCTAGAAAGAGTGAAAAATTAACTAAAAGCAGGAGATCCGATTTTTATAGAATTATAATTTTATTAAGATATTTACAATTTATTACGCATTAATTTATTATATATTTATTTGTAATTAATTGCAGCATCGCATATAAAACGTAAGATAAAAGTAAGATTTATTTTTCAAATTTCATTACATTTTCCATGTCTAAAAAAGGTAATCGGTCAAAACATCCAAGGAAAAAATACTAAAATTTGTAAACATTTAATTTTCTAACAAAATTAGCACGTGAAGTTAATTCACGCTGATACACGCTGCAGTATCATTAATAGTTGTGCTTCACAGATATTAGCCGACAGCCGTTATAGCCTAATAATATTGAACAAAATATATGTTAAAAAGTGAAATGATTCGATTATGTAAACTAGTAGACTATATAGGTATACATTATTTCAAAAAATTTAGAAAAAAGTATTTATATAAATAGAAAGTTTTAATTTATTTTCATAAAATAATTCGATAAAGTAAATTATTTTCTAATGACTAAGATTAATTATAGCATTTAAAAAAATTGTACTGTTTTTATTGCCATCATTATATTTCTTTTAAACATGTTTAAATTTATCCTTTCTTTTATTTTTTATAAGTAGTGGTCCAATGGTACCTAGTTCACTTTGTGCGATTTGATTTCATCTGCTACATTTTTGTGTGAACTATTTTATTTATTCTTTATTATTATAGCTTTCATCAAAAATTAAAAGTTTAACTGTAAGGCAAATTGGGGAGTAAGAATACAAAATTACCAAACATACAAATAGGTACATGAAAAAAATCAACTCAGAAAATTTCTGTATATATTTTTATTCTTTAAAAATGTATTAATTTTTATGCTTGTAATTTCATAATTTAATATTTAAACTAATTTTATAAGAAAGTATTGTGTACAATAATGTTATGTTATTTTGGTTTATTGACGTAAGCTATTATATGTTCGTGTTTATTTATATAAACGTTTTCTATATTTTTAAATTTAAATATTTTGACTTAGAATCCCTAAAAACACATAAGTTTTTATTATTAGTTTATATTTTAATATTTAAGCGTAATATTTAGTATAATATATAAACTATTATAACATTAATTTTAATTAATGGTATTAACAGGGCGTGATAGTATCGATGAATGATGCGTGTAAAATAAATAAAAGCTTTAATATATACTTACCTATATTTAGTTTTAATTATTTTTTTACTTAAACGAGGTACCTATAGATATTAAGTAGGGATTCGTTGAACAAGCATAAGTATTAAAATATTATAATTACCTATTAAATTCATTAATTTATTTTTAAAATCCCAATAAATCGTAATAAATATATTTTATTTTATTTAAATCAAGAAAAATATTTAGATAAATTGCATATAAAATTTTAAAATAATTTATCTATTTCTAGTAAGTATTGCTTGTGTTAGAGGTAGACAAGTGTTGGAAACTTTAAACTACCTATATAATCAATATGTGCATTAAATATTATGTCTATATAAATACTAAAATACATATAATATATACATATACACATTGGAAGCTGGTAGTGTCTAGTGCATATACTTATATATATATAAAATATTTATTGTATTTGCTATAAGTGCTATACCTATTTGCAAGTATATGGGCTTTGTGTGTATACCTACCTATTATCTCTTATAAAGGTAAGGTCGTATTAAGTGATCGTTATGCAATACATTTATAGTTAAGAATTAGGTATTATTGCTGCTCCCATCTATAGACTACAACAATATAATAATATTGTAATTAGTATTTGATGTTTTTTTTTTTTTTTTTTGAAAATTCAATCGTTATAGTTGTTCCGGAATATAGGCAAGGTATCTATATATATATTCTATATAATTATAAGAAGGATAAGAAGGAACATTTTCGTGGAGTAGAATTTATTGTTCGTCGCGCGCGTGTATAGTAGGTTACCTATACCTAATAACAAATTAATAACAGGTTAATATATATAAGGTAGCTATCTATAATAAATAATAATGTTATAATTTATAATGCATCCCGCCCACAACGCACGCGTAAAAAACGCGCCAATATGTTTTTCACCTATATCTAATTAGACAATATCAAGAAAATATAAAACGCTGACAGTCGTTATACT